CTCATAGTGACCCCTCCTTGGGTTTCCGAGGCAGTATCACTATGGAAGTAGATTGCCCAACCTTTCTTCTGAGGAGTGGCTTGTGGGTTTGAACCACCAACCTTCTGGTTAGCAGTCAGGTGTCTTAGGCACTATGCTACCAGTGCTCCTTATTAAAGTAGAAGGTCAGCCAAAAAGGGGAAGACCTTCAACAAGGTGGATTGGCACAGTAGCTTCAGCAAAGTGCTTAAAAATAGCAAGCATTATGAGGATGGCTCAGGATTGGTCAAAGTTTTGTACTGTTGTACAGAAGTTCTCTTGAGTTGGAGGTGAATGGATTGCACCTAACAACAACAGTGAAAAAGAGAGAAACCTTAGTGATATCGTGTCTTAGGCACAGTTTACTAGGAAGCAAACATAGTGAAACTCATAGAGTGAGAGAGAATGGGTGACAGGAGAATTTATCTCAAGTAAATGGCTCCTGCAAAAGTAGTAGCTGGCAAGTCCATGGGTCAAATGTCAATCTGGAGGTTAATCTTGACTCACACAGCTGCTGTAGATGATGCACCCAAGATCAGAAAGTAAAATGGTAAGTTTTTGGCTGACAGCCTGCAAAAGCAACAATCTCAGGATTGGCAGGCAATATGGCTAGCCACTATTTCAAATCCAGATGCTCATCTGGATTCTCTTTCTAACAAAAAGAAAGAAAGCCTCACCAACACAGGAAGACATTAAGAAAATCATGAAAAGTTCCAATCAAAATTCAAAAACACAAAAATGACCAGAATTACTGGTTGGACCGAGACTGGTGGAACCCCCAAAACAATGGCCCCAGGTTACTCTTGGGGCCTAGAAATGGACTCATTCCCATGGGTTGGCTCTCAGTCCAACAGTAGAAAGACCTATGTGCAGAACACCTACCCCAGGGTAATGCACTCACCTACTCTATGGAGATACACCCCTTAGATCAATCAGCCATGAGACACCAGAAAGATAGTGTTCACATAGAGGGGAAGCTGGACAGACAGGATTGCATAGTTAAGAAAGGCACAGGGAGGAGGTGGTCACAAAGAGGGGAGGGGAGGAAGGTTTTTTATGTTTAGGGATAGTAATCAGGTCATGAAATCAAATGTGCATGGACTGTTAAACATAAAACAAATTTGCTTTGTAAAATTTTCACCCAAAGCACAATTTTAAAAAAAAGAAAACCATGAAAAGAAGATTTACAATTTTGATAAAAGAATAAATACATAAAGGTCTGATCAAACTAGCAAAAGAGGGTGTCTTCAAACAATGCATCTGAAAGGAACTAAAGCAGAAGTCCCAGGAGTTAGGAGGACTACAATTCTTGTTTCAAATGATAACGGAAGGATAAGTATGCAAATATTTATATTAAGATTATTATGGTTTTTGCTAGGACACTGAGTACAAAGCTCTACAAATCTAGAGGGGATTTTCACAACGCTTTTTTCTTTCCACAATCTTTGTTATTTTTAGTATGGAATTTTACCGAAATGTCAGTGTTTTAGGAAGATATGTGTAGAAAACAACTGTACTTCAAAAAACTTATAATACCATAGGAGATTCTAAAGAGAGGGCTGAAAAAGAAGTGATGAGTTGAGAAAGTTACAAGTTCTTTTTCTATGTATATCCTTTTTTTTTGCAATAAACACATTTTTAATGATTAAAAATGATATAAATAATACAAAATCTTAATTAATTGGCATGTGAAATTAGATTTGGAAATCATTAAATTTCTCTTCTATAACATGTCTGAGTCAGAATTGGAAGTCTCCATCAGAATATCAGTATACTTCTCTATTTCACACCTCTTTGAATGTTTTAGAAAATTAAAATAAGCTAAATTATATACTTACACATATAAGACGGTCCTGGTATCACCTACTTTCCCAGCATCCCCTACTGTAAGGGTGTCATATCCTCGTTCCAGTTCAAACTCTTCAAAGGCAAGCTTGATGACCTAAATGAAAGGCACAAAATATTTAGCATGTCAGAAACTTTTCTTAATTTTAAGTATTGCAAATATTCAGCTGGAGTAATAACTTAGACTTCTGAATTCCAATGCATTTCAAACACTCATCAAGAATGCATAAGATCCTTAAAATAGCCACATTGATAATTGAACACATTTAAGAATCTTCAGTTACTGAATCTTATAGAGTTTGAAATTGCTGTTACTCTCTCCAATATATTCATTGTCATTTCTAAAATAAAATTCAACATCTGTTATACTTTAAATCAAAGTTCTATCAAATATGTATTTTAAAATATATAGTGTTTGAGATGATTTAAAGATAAATCAAATTAAGCCCAAAAATATTGACTATAGTTCATAAGATACATTTTGAGGATGTTCAGTAAGTAGAGCATACTACAATAAGTACATTTAGAGTTATATATGCACATAGTGCATGTAATGATTCACATTAACACATGAAAAAGACATTCTGAGCTTGTTGTTGTCATGTGCTGTCAAGTAGGACCTGACTCATGGCGACCCCTCCTTGGGTTTCCAAGACTGTATCACTATGGAAGTAGATTGCCCAACCTTCCTTCTGAGAACTGGCTGGTGGGTTTGAACCACCAGCCTTCTGGTTAGCAGTCAAGTGCCTTAGGCATTATGCTACCAGAGCTCCTATTCTGAGTTTAGGAGGTTATTTTCTACATTTAGCTTTGCAATACCTAGAAGTTTTACTGTAAAGGACACTTGGCATGATGATTGATATCATGACATCTAAACAAGATTGGCTTATATATGACACACAAATAAAAAAAGATGAAATAAACTGCTCTAACTTTGCATACAATAGAATAATCAAATACTGGGAAGTTTTCTGACATGAAAACATGTCTGTGTTCACTTTCATTTAACTCATCTACCCTAATTTGATGCATTCATAATGGCAAATTAGAAAGTAAAATTTAGATGGTCAGTTGTTGCCAAGTTATAAGGCTTTGGACATCAGATTAAAGGCTTTGGAAGCATAGTTAATGGCAGTGGTGGTAATGATGATGGTGGTGACAGTGATTGGCTCTGGGCTCTGTGTGTGTGTGTATGTGTGTGTGTGTGTGTGTGTGTGTGTGCTGGGAGGGGTAACCCTGATGAACATGTTTTAGCAAAGAAAAAAAGAAGTAGCTATACTGAAGTGATGATATGATTTTTCATGAAATATTTCACAGAAAACAAAAACGGGCTGATGGCATAAAACCTAAGAATCAAATAAAAAATCCAAAGATGACATGAAAAACTTGGATTTGAATGGTAGCCATGAAAATAGATGTGAGAAAAGAGTCTTGAATTCTACGAGAAAAAGAAATGCTTTGGTGAGCAATATTTTAATCAAAGGGGAAAAGGAAATCAAAGATAAGTTGAAGTTAGTTGAGAGGAGAGGACAGGGAAAAACAAGGGAATGCATAGAGAGGAAGGGATAGGAGAAGAGGAGAAGGAAAGCAGAAACCAAACTGGGAATAAATTTAAGGGGGATCTATTAAGAATAAATCTGAAACTATGGAATCTTATGAAAAGATATCAAATGTGTATTAAACTTCAAAGAAAGGAGTTAGTGGTACCAGGAGGAATGCAGCATTTCCACTAATATTTTAATTTGATGTGCAGAGTTCTAAGCAGGCTGCAAACAGGTGCTCTTTCAAGCAATGCTAATATAGAATAAACAAATTCTTTTGGTTTTTAATTCTTACTAAAATTAGTGATAGAGCCATTATAATTTATATATATATAAAAAAAACTATTTCAAGGAACAGTGCTTGTATGAATACATTATTTTAGCAATCTGATTTGAAACAGGTGTAATGGTTGATAGCTGTTGAAAACTTATACACATATTGCATATTAAGCCTAACACCTGATGACAGTTTTGCTTCAATTTTTTTCTATCTCATGGCTCAATTTATAAGTGACCATGATCCAACAATTACAGAATAAAAGAATCAAAGAATCATCACTGAGACCTGGAGGTTTCCCATCACCTTTTGACACATTTACTCAGTCTTGACTTGTTTAACAGCCCTGGAGTGAAGCAATGATAATCCATTAAAGTTTGAGGGTCACGGCTGGATGACTTGTAATGAGTCACAGATAGGGGTCACACTACATAAATGGAATTTCATTAGTGGTGTAAAAATTGCCATTTTGTATTTCTTTCAAGTCAGGGCAAGGGTTGTCAGAGAATTTTTTTTTTTTTTTTTTTCTGTCAGTGTTGTTACAACACTCAGCAAGGGCTACGGTGAAATGAAAATCTTTATTCCATATTATTAATTCTCATGAAAAAAAAAAAAGAAAGAAAATGGAGGCCCAATCATGGGTAAAGAACCTCTCATTTGTCAGAAAATATGATATTCCATTAGTGTATCAGATAGTAAAATAGAAATACATATTTTAAATTTGTAATTACTTCTCAATCAGAAATACCTAGATTCAAGTGATAAGTGGATTGGATAGGATAATAAATTTTACACTTGTAAATTATTCAGTTATATTCAATGAAAATAGTTTCTTCAGTGACGTAAACATATCCATGCTCTTCCCTTGATCCTGAATAGGATCCCTACAGGAAATTCTACCTACGTATGGCTAGTCCACATTCTGTAAGTTTCTGCTTAATATCTCTTCCTTGACAATATATCCTCCGACCATTCTTTTCAAAGAAAGAATGCTCTTTAAAATTTCTTTCTGGGTTATTCTCTCTCTCTCTCTCTTTTTTTTTTTTTTATTGTGGGTGAAAGTTTACAGTGCAATTTTATTTTCCACACAACAGTTCATACACATTTTGTTTCTTGACATTTATTGCAATCCCCACAATGCAACAGTTCTCTTCCCACTTCCTCCCTGTGTTCGTTTCTATGCATTCCTGCCCTCTGAGCTATCTCCCTGTGCAAATGCTGCCTTTCTGATCTCCCACGGTTGATCATTGTAAGGAGTGCACCTATCTGGTGCAATAGTCACCTTATCTCTTTCCTTCATATCGTTACACTTTTTGAAATTTCATTTTGGTTTGCTTTTACTGCCTGCCTCACATGGTTTATCGTTAGCCCCAGGAGGGCAAGTACTAAGTCAGTTTTACTCACTGAGGGCAGTGATTGTCTCAGTATATAAGGGTTTATTGAATACCTACTCTGTTCAGGACACAATGCCAAGAATGATGACGAAAAGAACATGGATTAAGTTCTAACCTCTAACATCTTTTAAGTCCATTGGAGGCATTGTGATAAATATTAAATAATTAGGGAATTGTGACATTTACAGTAAAGATTCAATAAAGACAACAGGCAAAATTATTCACTTTTTCAACCTCAAAATGGAATCTTATACTTGTGAAAAAGAGACAATACTCAGTCTAGAGATTGATACATTTAGAAACATTTATTCTAGTTTTCTTATAATATTTTCTCTATTTTTTACCAACTTATCGAATCCCAAAGTTGTATCAAATTTTGTCTGAGAAAGCTTTCTTTTAGATGATCAGATATGTCATAAATCCTATGTATTTAAAAATAAGGTAGTATTTCAGTTTTTCTTAAGTGTCAGTGACATAGAGTGGTACATGGGAGGTACAGACAACAAAGATGAACCCTTTTGCATGTACAGTACTGCACTGTCAGTGATGGCAAGCATTAATCTGTAGGTGTATAGATGGGTGGACAGGGTGAACAATCAGGTATGTCTAGGCAGGGGGGGAGTGTGCTCATGACTATGTATAGGGTTGGTAGAAGATGTTTCTACATGTGTATTTGTAGGTGCTGTAAGAATGTCCAGATGCATAGTAAAGCTGACAAGGAGCAAGGTTGTAGTAGTTTCTTGGCCACAGCCAGCTACCTGGAGGGAGAAAGTAGTTAGACCTGTGGACTTGGGACCATGATTGCAGGGGACATCAAGCTCCATTGGCATAACACATTATGCAAAAATGTTCTTCTACATCCTACTTTGGTGAGTAGTGACTGGGATCTAAAAAGCTTGCAAGCAGCCATCTAGATGGAATGATGGCTCTTTCTTCATCCAAAGCAAAGAAGAATGAAGAAAAACAAAGATGCATGGAAACAATTAGTCCAAGAGCCTAGCAGACCATACAATCCTCAGCTCACACAACCATAAAACCAGAAGAACTAGACAGTGCCTGGCTACCACTGGCAACCACTCTGAGGCGGATTTGTGCAGGAGATCCTGGATAGAGTGGGAGAACAATGTGGAACAAAACTAAAAATCATAAAAAAAAGACCAGGTTGGCTGGTCTGATAGAGCCTGGTGAGACACCTGAGACTATGGCCCCTAGCTATCCTGGCCCCTACCTACCCTTCTGGTCTAAAATTGAATCCAGTCCTGTGGCTTCCATCCAAATAAGAGACAGGCATATGGGTTGAACATTTATATCAGGTAGATATACTACTTGGAGTGTACAATCATGGAAGAACAGAAAGGGAGTGTTTGCACAGGGAGACAGCTCAGAGGGGCAGGAAGGTATGGGAAGGAAGAACACAGGAAAACAAAAAAGAAAATTAAGGAGAAATGTGAATTGTCTCCATCATATAAAATATGTTCTGGGCTTGAGGCCATTTCAACTTTTTATCTTGTGGGAAACATTAAGAACAGACTTGGATTCACTCATTCCTGATTCATTCATATAATCGACAAGTTAATGTCCTAGCCTTCAATCATAGATAGAGTGTTGTGTAAACATTTTCATTATGGTAAGTACATTTTAAACACACAGATTACCATTATTCACACTAGCAGTGTGATTTTCAATAAAGTTATGTATTTAAAAAGCAAGGTACTATTTCAGTTTTTCTTAAATGCCAGTGATAGAACAAAAGGCCCTTTTAAGACTAAATGCAACAATTTGCATTATGCAACAGATGCTTTTGTTATTTGGAGTAGGGATTGAAGGGATGCCCTTTTTTTGTTTCCCAACTAAGAATGTTCCATTTTCCAACCCCAAG